CTTACCTAGAAGAGCTGTATATGAGAACGTGGAATCTTTCAGTTCGACATCAAACACTTTATCCTGCCAGAACACTAGCACAAAGTCTGAATATTCGCCGATTTATGGGGGTGAAGCCAGAAGAAAGAAACCTCTGGCAAGAAGTTCATACATTGATGGGAACAGATATTTCTAACCCTAACCCTAATTCCTGTTTGCAAAGCCAAATGCCATAATCATTGAGACTTATTCAAGGCACACGAAGAGACTTGAAAATGTACAAACAGGCTACGTGAACACGGAGTAATCTGCGTCACATTTTGATTTGTCAATGTGCTACCTAGGTGCCACCCCTCCCTCTGAACCAGACAGTATTTTTAGGAACTGAGAACTCACATGACTATCTATTATATGTAAAAGGGTAAGTCTGGACAATGTGGATCTAATTATCTGGATATTGTCCGGAGTTGATAGGAGAAACAGCTGGTGAACGAGAGGAGAAAAAGTGGGGACAGTCCAACTGGGAGCGAGAATAGATTTCAATCCAGATGAACAGGATGATGCAGATATAGGAATACACACAGTGGGAGGGAAGCAACAACGATACAGAGTCAGATTTGGCATCTCATCACTACTTCCAACTTGTCACAGCTAGAAATGTGTTCAGCTTGGTGTCACTCCCACTGAGAATCCACCAACAATCTGTTGACAGGGACGTGGTATCACAGCATCCAAAAATACCACAATTGCTTTTATTTCTAATTGAAATAATGTATCTCTATCTTAAGAAAACAAGCAGCAGCAGCAGCACTTTAAGTGAACTGTCCTGCCGGCTGAATAATCAGAGATGTCTAGACTGGGTACGTCACCAAAATACAGAAACAGCCCCTGGCTTATCTTATCACTCTTTTGTTTGAATATGTCAGTAGCAAATATCATGGATGATTAGAATCTATGCATACAATAGGAGGATACGCAGGGAGGGGATTGAGTAATGACCAAAGCCATGCTCGGGGGAGGACATTCACTAAAAAGGAACATTTTACTTTTATTTTCTGCTGGTATTTTATAAGCAGCAAAGACTGCACTGCACAGGAAAAATAGAGCATCTTACCTGGTGGGAAAGGGTAGCTTTTTCTGCAGAGTGCTCAAGAACGGGGGCAAGGTAGCAGATTCTGCAGAGAGGAGAACAAATAGATGAGAGACAGAAGAAGGAGCGAAGATAAGAGGCAGCAGAGATGGCTGATGCTTTTTCGCCGGCAACTGCAGCTCACACACTCTCAAAAACACACACACACACATGCAGCGAGCCAACCGGCATGCTGTCTCACGCAGGTCTCCCCCTCCCTGCTTTCACCAGTGCACACTATGCAACCAAACCAGGGCTGTGTATAAGGGGGGATGGGCATGAGACAAGTGTGTGTATATTTGTGTCAGTCACATTCATTCATGTTTGAAAGAGATACGAAGCTCATCCACTCCTGAGGGAATTATAAAGATACATCTCTATCCTAGAAATTCCCCGAAGCATATTTCATTTTCCTCCCGGTGTGTATTCCACGTGTAACATTACTTAAAAAACGTCCACATTATGAATGTATGGAACCTCGAAGCATGACAGCGAGCGCAGTGTATCTGCAAGTGTATAGAAGGAGGGGTGCAGGGCTTGCCCCCATAATGAATAATTGCTCTGTCCTGGTGCTCATTTGCAGGCATGGCCCACTGCAGCAGCAGCAGCAGCACTGAAACAAAGGCGGAGAGGGGGGACGAGGGGGAAAAGAGGATCCTGAGAGAGACTGCAGAGGCTAGACAAGCAGAGCTAAAGCATACAAGTCAGTAGCACTGAGCGCTGACTGCTCAAAGCCTAATTCCTCGCCCATTCCTCCAACCACATGAAATGAAATATATTTGTAGTCCAGGGGGCTCACAAAGGCCCATTTCTTTAGCTTTCCATCAGCTGGAGCACTAGAGATGTCTAAGTTGTGATTAAAAACAGAAATTGTGAGTTTCAGAGTAGATTATTAAGATTTGAAACAACTTTATTGGCCAAAGATGACTTCATTGGTGCATCGACATATACTTGTTCCAATCATTTATGAAGGAAGCACATTAATCCACTGAAACAAACCAGCCTGACCAGACCAATGTCAAGAGACACTCCCTAACATGATCACCAAACCTCACATAGACCACAGAGGCTGAATCATAAAGGATACATCTTCATTTGACTCCAAGACTTTCAAAATGACTGCTTCCAGCCCACATCACATCCTCTCTGAGTCCCATTATTAGCATGTCTTGTTCCATAGAAGGTAAAGAGAGCCATCAGTGTAAGACTGTAATCAACCTGTCAGCGTCGGGGACTGATACATTTAAAAAAAAAAAAAAATGAGATATTTAAAATGGCAGTGTAGAAATAATCTTGCTGTGAAATGTAATAACGCAAAGTAGTACATTTGTGGAGCAGCTTCAGGGTATACCGATGATGTTATTGGGAATTTGAGTAAAAGGAAAAAGAGACGTAGGATGAGAGATAAGAAAGATGGAGAATAAATGGAAGGTCGGATGGCACAGTTGGGAAATCAAAGCGTGGAGAGGCGCAGACAGTCCAGTCATCGGCAGCCGCCAACACTGATTACAGAGGAAGGGCTCTGCTAGCATGGCGGCTAACATCTAATCCGCTCAGCCTCTGCTAACGCCAATCTTCCAATACCGACTGTCAACAACCGCGATGTCAACAGATTACACATGTTGTTGACCCTTTGTCCTTAGCAGTCCTCTGGTTGATAATAACTTGCAAGTGACAATTTAGCACTCTTCGATCAAATGCATATGGCAGGATATATTCTCATGGGTGACAATGAAACCTTATGTCTAGTTCCAATTTTAAAAGGTAGGTCAATCGCATTTATGGAAGTGCTGGTTGATCATATATTGGGGCAAAGCCAACTCAAAATGATCAGGATTATCTGAATGGATCATCGTAGGCTTGTGGGTAATCTGCCTGGACCCCTTCATCCAGATTTTGATCTGAGATTCCATAGCTGGTCAGAAAAGTCTGGAGCATTCCTGCTTGATGTTTTGTTTGAGAGATAAAACCAAGTTTGTATTGACAAGATCACCAAATCGACCACAACTACTGTACAATAACGAGGCCAATAAAAAGCCAGTTTTATGAGTTTTTAATGCAGTCTGAAGGACAAAACATCATCTGCTACTTCTGACCTTTGAATTCCAGACTTGCCTTTGTATCATCATACCCAAAAAGCTGTTTCGGACGCCTCTGAAAGCATGACTCAAGCTTCTTTAAGCCCAGACTGGGTTTCACTGAGCGGGCACTTTTATTGCAGGTGCTTGAGAAAACAACGGCTGTGGCTTTGGTGTTTCTGCGTCATCAAACACGAGTGTCATTAAATATGTAATTTCAGCTCTGTTTTAGTGTGCCACCATAAAACTTGAAGTGTTGCAGTTTGATGGGAGGGCAGAGAGCAGTTAATGTGAATGAAGATATTGATTAATGCAAACACTCCTTTGAGTGGGTCCCTAGGGAATTAAGTCGGCCCTCAATAAAATGTGTTTGTTTTTTGGACAACTTGTAGTGTTACATCTCTGTTTGATGGTTGTAATAAGGGTATGGTTCTGTATCTTGAACTTAAACTAAATCATCTTTTTTTTCAAATTGATTGAGAAGTTATGCTTAATTTTCATGATAATCAAGAAACTTGACTAGGACAGTTGGTCGTTAGTAAATTGTATCTTACAGTGACATTATTGTTAAGTACTTTGGGACAAATAGGCATGATCATGGCATCACAGCCAATATGTTATAGATTTTTACAATTTAGAACATCGCTAGTATGGTCATTTGGATTATGATATTGATTACTTCCCCAGTTTTATATAATGTTAACTTAATTAATCTGCGTTTTGGACTGTTTGAAGAAACCACATTTTCCAGAGAGAAATTGCAGCTTTCAAATTTGTTTTAACACGTTATAATCAAAGACTTAATCAGCACTCCATAAAGTGTGTGTAAGTGATTCAAATAATAACCTTCTTAATTGATGCAATGGAGGCCAAGATATCCTGTCTTTCAATTCGTAGTGCGAGTAAAAACTCAACAAATCCTTCACTTCCCACAATGCAACTGAAAGTATCAACCATTAGACAACCTGGTGAAGTCTCAAGCCCAAATTTAAAACTAAAGCAATAGATGAAATACTTTTTACGCCAAGCAAACTGAACTTCATTGAGTTAAAAACAATAGAAATAGTACCTCATATACACTCATAACATGCTTTTCCTCCTGACTCCTACACACCACCGTAAGCATTACAGTCCGTCCCATGTTAGTACTTTCACCCAGACACGCCTAGTAATCGCTCGCACTGGCAGACGCATGTTAATGAGGATCAGACCACTGCAGCATCAGCAGGATCACAAGAGCAATCTCTTTCCAGCATAAGGCTGATGTCTGCTCCTCTTTGCTCGAAACGATGACATCTGCTTGTTTTTCTTTTAGTTCAAACAAAGAGTGAATTAGATTTAAGATGGTGGAAAATCGAATGACCTAATCCGTGCTGATCTGTGTGTCTGTTTGAAGGCTCTCCGGTTGAGTCAGCCAGCATTAATATATACTATTAATATGATTTTATCTGAAAAGGTTAGTTATGATTATTAGATTTCCTTTTATACGAGATCAATTTGATTCACTTTTACCTTCATAGTTTCCCCTGAGCTTACAATTGACTCAATAACAAAAAGGTTTTCGAGCTGTCAAACTCTTTTACTCTTTGTTGTTGGATCAAAAGCAGTTGGAGGACTGTGATGTCATAGGTCAAAGGTGAGTTTGTTCAGAGCAGCTCGACTAGATGAACATCTTTATCCCCTGAGAGCCCTCTGCATATAGACACAACAGCGTGACTCACACAAAAGTCCTACACCTCGGTCAAGCCAATGAATGTGCAGAGCATGTCTATCTGATGATGGCTGTAACTGTCCAGTTCAGTTTAGAAAAAAAGATGAACCGTTTGGAATAAAGGAGAACCCTATATTTACCCCTCTCATGCCTTGCCTTTACAATCCATCATTAGAGACAGGGTGACAGAACTATATTAGGTGTTCATAGTCACACTAGGAAATCCCACTAGATAAACTCGCTTTATGTGTTGGGAAGAAGCGACAGTTTACTCTACGATACTGACAGAATCCCCCGACAACCCATTCACCCGTCATAATTCAGAGTGTGAGGATTGTGAAGCACTTGAGCGCATTAAAACCTGAGTGGTTTGTGAAAGTGCAGCCTTCCTTGTTTGCAAGAGCAAATACTAGGCTGTTCATTTGCCAAGAGTGAGCGTTACACCATCTCAATGACAAGCTTTCAATTCATAAAGTAACTGACGGCAATAACACATGGGAATCTCTAAAACCCTTCTCCGGACCACCACTGGATTGAATAGTGAGCGTGATGGATGGAGAGTCATCCTTCCTTCTCTACCACCCAGCAAGATGACTCTCTCTAGGCTGCAGATTGTGTCATTACTCACATTCAAATGCATGTATACAATGTGCACACACACAGGCCATCTTTAGACTATCAGCGAGGGAGTGTGTGTTGCTACTCTGTCTCTGATATAAGCAGAACACAGGAAATTCCTAAGTTTGAAATATGCCTCAAAGAGGCCTGTTCAAAACAGAGATTTGAGGATAACAAATAGACAGGAAGTAGAGGAGACTGATGCCACGAGTGAGGGGGAAGAAGTGGCGAGAACACTCTACTGTTTTTATAGACTTAAGTACATTTGCGCCTGTCTCAGGGCGTGTGTATCATGACCTGTAGACCAACTGCCTGCCGGGTTGTGTGTTTGTGTGTCAACGCTTCAGCTCGCGTGTGCCCCGTTTTATACTAACCACAGGGTGTAGCCGCGGGCTTTGAAGCCGTCTACACACCCTGGGCTGAACTCAGACTACTGTACGAGAACTCCATGGAAAAATCAACCATGCTCACAGGGAACACAGAACTCTCTATTCCACTAGGAAAACTTCTCTGGGTAGAAAAAGCAGAAAACAGCAGAGGAGGGTTCTGCGTAGGGCTGCAGCCAGCAAACATTTGTATTTCCTTATTAATAGATTAGTCATTTAGTGGATAAAATGTGAGAACATGTAGGATTAATTA